GAGGCGGGGTTCGCAGTGCCCGGGCGTGAGGGCCGTGCCCGGTCCTCGCCTCCTGCCGGGTGTTGGCACCCACCTCACCCCCCCCGCCCGTGCTATCCTTGCCTTCCGCCTCGGGTTGTGGGGGGCCTTTGTACCCTGAGGAGGCAGGTCGGGTAATAGTGCTGGGAAGGGGCTCCTCTGCTTCTGCATTTCTCACAGAAGTGCTGAGCTTAGCCACGTACCGAGATCAGACAGGTTTGTGGAGACTCAGCTGAGGGGGAGCTCGGTTCCCTGCATGGTCTAGGGCCAACCTCCTCCTCCTTAGGAAAAGCGTTTTCCATGTCCTTAGCTGTGGATGCATCTCATTTTTACAGGTGGTGGGGAAGGCTTGGCTTGTGGGGGCAGGCTTGTGGTGCTGAGGGTTAAAGGCTTAATCAAAACATGGGTGAACAAGAAGGTTAGCTGGAGGGGGGTCTCTTTCTACAACACTTGTTTAAGTTACGGAGGAAAACAACCCAAGCCTGGAGGTGTTTTCCGAAGGTGATGGCTCAACTTTGGCTAGAGGTGACATAAATGTGGAGAGCCTCTTCTTAGGGTCCTTTGAAAATCTGTTAGGCTGGGTGCCAGTTAGCGTGTCAGAGCATCACTTCCAAAGGCTCATGTTTTGCATAAATAGGCACACAATATTTTAATTGCTGCGTATTGCAGGCTTGGGGGATGTCTGTGCTGGTGCGAAAATCAAGAATCTAATATTGGTGATTATTAGATGAACTGTCCTGTTTCCTTAAAATTATGGGGTTGGTTTGAACTGATACAGATTAATTGTGTAGGAAGTGTTTGTAGGTTCGGGTACTGACTAGTTAAAGCTGAATAGCTGTGGTCTGGGCTTGCACTCCTGCACTTGTGAATGGTGGTCATCCATGTGTTAATCCAGATGTTTTGTTAACAGACAGAAGAGTATCTACAAAATGGCAACTGCTCAGAAGCAAAGGAATTGTGTGGTATGATTTTCTTGTGTATTTCAGCACAGTATATTATTTGAATCAGAAAAATCAGTGAATTTTAGCTGAAGTAGTGCCCCCAGGTGCTCTTCAATATTTCTTCACTTGAAAATTACAGGCTAATTCAATCTTTTAACTATGAATAAAGATGCGTAGTAGCAAAATAGTTTGAGTCTGAACTTTTTGGTCATACATTTGCTAGAAATCGGCTATGTCCTAAAAACATAGTAACACCAAGTATTAAGAATATGCTTAACTTTATGAATGCCAGAAGTCATACTGTTCAATTAAATTAAAATGTTAAGCAGGCATTGGACCTTAAAACATTAAGCAGGCTTGTGGTTGTGGACAGAGATTAATTTTTTTTCTTTCTCTAACTTTCAGAGTGCAGTTGTATTTCCTAACAAAATATCTACTGAACAGCAATCCCTGATGCTAGTGAAGAGGCTCCTGGCAGTAGCAGTATCCTGCATTACATATCTGAGAGGAATATTCCCTGAAAGTGCCTATGGAACAAGATACATGGATGGTAACAGGCTGTTTTCATGATTCTTTGCAAAATCAATTGTCATAGGATTGTTCTGAAGTTAATGAGTGTTTTTAAAGCTGCTTGGTCTTCTTGATTAAAGCTAATAGCCGTTTTCAATTACTGTAATGGAAATTCACTAATACAATCATTGAATATTGTTATAGATAGTGGTGATGCTAACTCAGCAATTATATCCTTGCTGATGCCTGTCAGTGGTGTTAATTTTAGTCTGCTTTTGATATGTACTTTTAGGGAATGAACTTCACTTTCTTAGCAATGTAGTTGCATTTTGTCCTAAGTAAATATGCATGTATATATTCTTTTTTTTTTTGAGATGTCTGTGTCAAAATTCTGAGGGAAGACAAAAACTGTCCTGGCTCTACTCAGCTGGTGAAATGGTATGTTAATTACAGTGCATATATAACACTTCCATGGCATGTCAATTCTGAAAGATACCTTTCTGGTTGTTTGCAAATAGAAAGAAAAAATTTCCCTTGCTGTGAGTGAACAACTGCCCAGGCAGTGTTTTTAGGGCATGGTATTTACTCTGTTGACAATTTTTTTTTTTTAATGGAAAGTGAAATTGTGTGTGTTTTGGTAAAGATGTAATTGAGTTTACATTTGTGTTTCTAGAAAGGCTTACAACTTGGTGCTTAATAGATCACAAATCTTTGTTTACAGAGTGATTATACTTTACATTTAGTTTCTGTGGGTGTATATGAGTGCTCAAGGTGCATATAAATGCAAAAGTCTAACCAGTAGTTCCTCTCTCGTTGAATAGGAAACACAGTGTTACCATTTTGCATCTTGTATTTAAAGGTCTTGCTCTCAGACTTGTATAAGAAAGTGGTACTGTTGGCCTTTATATTCAAAGGCAGAATTGTATCTGCAGACGATAGTCTGTCCACTTGTACATTCACACAGTTGAGTGTAAGTATGTCACTTGGGACGAGAGGTATTTATTTTGATTTTCTTTCTGCTCACAATAACTGCGAGATTTGTTCATGTCTGGTCTCCTTGGTTTTTGTTACCTCTATAAAGGCCATCTTTGTTCTTTTCACGCTTTCACCAGTTGTAGTACAAGGTAAGGCATCGGAAATGATGCTGCGTTCAGCAGAGGGGTTTTGCAGCTGCTGTCAGTGTTGAGGTGTTCAGAGATGTAGGTCTGAGTTTTGACGTTAAAGGTGTAATTAGTCGTCTGCTCTTTGTCCATGTGCTGTCACTAAGAGAGAGGAGGGGAAAAAAGGCTTCCTTACTGTAACCTGGAATTTCTTAATTGATCTTCTGTGGTAGAGGAAACTCAAGTGGCGCCCGAGTGCATTTCACCTTACCCTCACGCATCACACATTAGTGAGGGCAGTGGCGTGGCAGCCTGTGGATGCTGACAAGGAAAAGCTCCCTGGTGTTTGAGTGAAGGGTGTGTGCTACCTGTTTGGAGTTTGCAGGTGAGTAGCCTTTCCTAACTCAGCATCATGTACACACCAAAAACAATTTTTGCTTGTTGATTATATTCAAAAGAAATGTTAGAAAAAAATGAGAGTAAGTTTTGGTTCGCTATTTGACTGTTGTTTGCATGTTATATAAAAAGCAAATTGCAACATCTAAATAAAGGCATAACTCCTTTGTGCTTCAGAGACGTTGGTGTTCAGCTCTAGTACTTATTTATAAACTGGTTAATGAATACATGTTAGAAGGTATTTGAAAATGGTAGCCATACAATTGCATGATGTTTTTACTTATAAATTATTTACTTACAGATTATATTTGTACTTTTTCTGCAAAGAGGTTAGGATGATTTGGGGTGTTACAAAGATAGTCATTGCTTGTATCACTACTAATAAAAAGTTGGAATAATGGAATAAGTATTCTTTATTGCTCTAATCTAATATTAAGAAAGCTAAACAAATAATTTCATTTTTTGGGACTGTTTTATTTATTTAATAAATAAAAGAAGCAAAGCAAATGGAAATTAGTAGTAGATGGACAATATTATTTGATTTTTGCAGGATGTTAGGATGCTATGATGCCTTGCAGAAGAAATACGTAAGTCTTCCAGTATCATTTAGCTATTTTAAATTGATTTAAACATTCGTTTATGTAAGTACATTAGTTGCCAGCATAGCTATAGGATTTTCTGGTTAGGGAATAGCTGTGCTTAATATGTTAAAACAGCTACGATGTGGGATGAACAGACATTTCTGGATAATATTATTTGTAAACAGAAACACTTAAAGGCAGGAATACTTAGGAATTTTCTTCTGCCAGTTGAGTAAGTCCTTTCTTAAAGATAAGGAGTTAAGCGTATGAAGAGGTTTCTCTTCACAAAGGCCCGTAGTTGTCTATATTGGTTTCCAGAGCTAGAGAAACAAAACAGCTTGGTAAGCAGAAATGGGCTATGGAATACATTTAATGTTCTCTTTCTTTCTTTAATTATATTTCTGACAGCTAAGAATGATTGTCCTAGCAGTAAGTATCTTTGAAAAGTAAGGTACACATTTTTTAAGGTAGATGCTTAGAGGTATGTAGAGTTCTTACTCTGTTTCCTCTCTTAACTTTAAAAATACAGGTCTATACCCATCCAGAAGATCCTCAGGTAAATCTGTTGGAATATTTTACTGGATGATTAATGATAGTATGGATATAGTGAAATGTGTATACAAGCAATAGTACTTAACATTCACATTAATGCACATTAAAAAAAAAAAAATCTTAAAATACCAAACGTAAGAATCACTAGAGCTAATCAGAATTGCCACATAGTGAGTTGCCTTTGAATATCTAGTGTCAAGTTGTTCTCAGTCCACAAGAAACCCAGAGTGTCCTTGCAGAGTTAAATGCCCGTAAAGATGCATTGTCCTAACTCTGCATAACGAATGTATGGAACTTCTTTGGGGAAAGCACAGTATGTTTTAACTAACCGCTGGGTGTCACCATGTCTCTGTTGTGTGTGTGAAACAGTTTTGTAGTGAATAAAATTTGAATGAATATTTCATTGTAAAAACTTAGGCTGATGTTTCAAAAGACATCATGGTGATTTCCTGGAAAATAATATAGACCTTCATTTTTATTTGATGACAATTGTATACATTAATACTATTAATTGTTACAGCATTAGAAAGCTGTATTCAATGCATATAAGTGCATCAGGCAGGAGTTGGGCTATCATTTTCTTTAAATGCAAGGTTAATAGGTTACTGGATAGAAGCAGCACCAGTAATAGGTTGCTCGACAGCTGATAGTTTAATAATTACTGGATTTGTTTGCAGACAATTACAGAATGTTACCACTTCAAATTCAAGTACACCCACAATGGGCCACTCCTGGATTTCAGCAGGTACTGTCACTGTGACTTTATTCTCCTCTGTGGTTTTACAATCCATTGCATACACCTGAATGTAAAAGCTTTGGATTTTATCTGTTTGGTGTTTCCTTTTTTAATTCTGGATCTTAAGACTAATTTTATCAACATATACTATTAGCTTAGACTTATTCTTAAAATACAATGAATCATTTTGTCAGATTATGGTTATATTTTTAAATATCCACTCAAAAGATGATTCTTAGTGTCAGAGTCTAATACTCTCTGACCAGGTTCTTGAAGATATTCCATGCGCGAGGGTGAAATGTTTAATATCAGAATTACTTATCTGAAGATACCTGATGTTGCATGGGATTTCTCATTTAGCAGAGATGATACAAAATACACTGAAAATACAACACAAGTGTAAGCTATGCTTAGCAAAGCATAGCTATTGCAATACCCATTTCAATCACAATACCAATGTGATTGCTGTTACTGGTCTTTATAATACGCTCACTGTCATGACGCTGGGCATCCCCCAGTCATGGGAAAGGAATACGTGGACTGAAGCCAGCTCCAGCCCATTGCTCTTCTTTTGTTAGTTGTTTAGTTTTTATACTCTTTGGGCTGAGCCACGTATTCACTCCTCCCGTATTGGTCTGGCCAACTCAAGGAGACCTTCACACACTTTCAGTGAACTCAGGGAGAAACATTTACACCACCAGTTGATCCACTCAACTGACATAGCTATTCATCTAAAACAATGATCGCACTCAGATCCTCTGTGTGTTGAGCTAAAGTCAGATTTCCTAGCAATATCTGTGGTCAGTGACACTCTGCATTATTCCCTGAGCTTCATGGGCACATCGCCCTTGCCCATCTCCACTGAGCCTTCTTCCATTGTAGGGGTTTACTGGTCAGTCACAGCTGCAAGGAAATGGCTTATTTTAAGATGAGGAATTGAAATGTAGCAAGTTCGTACCTAACAAACTTCTCCCAGGTTTCCTCCTGCATAAAATGCTTTTTAAATTTAAAAATAAAAAAAAAAGGCTCCAGTGCTGCAGACCTGGGCCCTTTGGGCTGAGTTTAGTTACTTACCTCTGAAAGAGGTTGTAAGTCATGTAAAAAACACTGGTGGAAGGGGATGTGACTCTGTCTCAGCCACAGCAGGTTGCCTTAGTGTATTAGCATAAATTCACACCAGACTGACTTGAAAATTCAAGGCACGGGCCTGCTTCTCTGTCACCCTGCGGGGAAGGAGCTAACCATCTGCAGAGGGGCGAGACATTTGAAACCATTGCAGTTAAGGGTGTGCTTCCAAAAGACAGGGTTACCCAATCAAATAACTCAGTTGCTTGCCTTGCGCTGCCTGTTCAGGTCCTCAGGTGCCTCTCTGAGCTGTGTGGCTGGGAGGAGCAGGGGAGTAGAGGGAAAGCATTTTCAGAGGCAGTAAGGCTTTGGGTCAGCTCTGGTAGAATAGGTGCATGGAAATGTTGGAGCTGGATGCCAAGAGTCACTTAGGCATGCGTGTTCTGATCAGTAACCATTCTTGTCAAAGTCAATAGTGTTACTTGTTTTGCTTAAGGGAAAGCGAGTATGTAAGACTCTGCAGAATTGGGGCTTTCAAAAGTACCTACTTTTTTCTTTCTTTCAGATTGGGTATTTCTTAAGCACTGTGTAAT